GCCGACAAGGGACGCGAGTACGCAGACAATCGAGGACTTGGCGAAGGAAAACAACATCTATCACACTACCGTTCCGCCGTACCATCCGCAAGCTAATTCGGTCGAGAGGGTAAATCGAATTCTAAAAACCATGATCGTAGCGTTTCTCGACCGCGATCACATGGAATGGGATGCGCATATATCGGATTTTCGTTTCGCTTATAATACCGCGAAACACTCTTCACTCGGTACCTCGCCCGCTTTTTTGAATCTCGGCCGTGAACTTGCGCCGTCTCGATCGCTACAAGAGGAACAACGAGAAGATATCGTTATCGAACCACAAGATCCGTCGCGATGGTCGGAACGCCTGAAAAAGCTTGCGAGCTTACAGACCTGGGTTTCCGACAATATCGAGTTAGCGTACCAGCGGTAGTCCGCTCACTACAATTTGAGGAGACGCTCTGTGAAGTATCGAGTGGGTGAGTTAGTCTTAAAGCGACAGCATGTTCTGTCGTCGGCAGCTTAAAACACGGCCGCCAAATTGGCCCCAAAATTCCACGGGCCATTCAAGATAACGAAAATGAGGTCGGCGGTCGTGTGTGAGCTCGCGCGATTAGACGGTAGCGCGATCGGCAAGGTCCACGTAAAGGATATCAAGCCTTACGTGGACCCGATAGCAGAATAGTGTTGTGTATTGATGTCGACTCGTTTGTTTACTTATTGGTGGCACCTCGGCAGCCCATTGTTAAGAACGATACACTGGGTGACGAGAAGAACTTGAATTAGTTGGTGGTAAAAATTTATCGTATCGTTAATGTCGTTACATTAAAATTTGGTGTTGACAGAGTTAATATTTGGTGTTGAAACAATAGTTAGTGTCAAAGTTAATAAATAATTGGTGTCGGAAATCCGCTGTGATTGGGTTATAATTTGTTGTATGTCGTGGTGGCATGTCGCGTCAGGCAATTCCCGACCGTGTATCGATATCGTATGAGATGTTTGGTATCGGAACCTCCCAGGACGTTGGTGACGACAAATATCGCTCTCGTTGTTTTGTGTCGGGATAATTATCGTTTGTCTGGTGTCTCGAGGCTGCAATACCTGGTGTTGACAAATCTCGGTATTTGGTGTCCACACAATGGAGTTTCGTGTGAGGAAATTGTACATACCGGGTGTCGGGAAAGCCGGAGAGGCAAACGTACACTACAACCAGGCGAAAAATTGTTCTTGACGCAGTGAGCACACACGGAACGGAATGGCCGAGACAGAGACCGAGAGACGGTGAACTCGCTTTAGAAGGCGCTACAAGGCCGTGTTCCTGAGCATCATCAGGGAGCATCCTGGGTTCTGGGAGGGGGCCCACGACCTGTGGCAAAGCCACCTAGAAGAGACCACGACCACCCGTGGCGCAGTGGTCCGGGAGATCCCCCCGATGGTCGACGCGTCAACACAGACGGAGGGCGCAGTCGGCGGGAAAACCCAGGTCGAGACCCAGACGGAGGGATTCTGGGATTTGTTCGACGACCTGAGGGTCGCCGCCCGAGAACAGCTGGGCAGAGAGCGACCATCCCAGAGCCAGGCTACCGCTCCGGGGAACTCGCGAGAGACTTCCCACAAGGAACCACCGCGAGACGCCTCTCGTTCGACATCCTGCCACAGAGCCGAAGCCTGCTGGAACTGCGGGAGCAGGGGACATCGCTACTCAGGATGCCCACAACCACGATCGAACGAGTTCTGCTACCAATGCAAGGCCAAGGGGACGACGTGGCGGGAATGCCGGCAATGTCGAGCCGAGGAGCGGGCGGACATCTCCTCGTCCTACAGGAAGGGATGCCCCAGCCGGGAGTCCCGCGGGGGTGCCTGAAGACAACGGGGCTGGCCAGGAGTGAATGTCGAAGAAACTTTCGTTTTTTTTCTTGATTAATGGGCTAATTTGGAGGAGATTATATATTTTTCTTTTTTTTTTTTTTTTTGTTGGTTTTGCTCTTGTCTTCGATTCCGTTTCTTTTTTCTTTTCTGTTTCTCGCTTCTCGTTCACTGTACCGATTATCGTACCGCTACCGTAGCACTATCATAAGCTGCTACCGTCAGAGCGATGTCGAATAAAGAGAATAAAGTTTTTTTCTTTGTGATAAACGGGGTCAAGACAAAAATTAAAATTCCATCGAACTCCACACTCCCCACCTTACTTCCTGTGCCGAAGGCCGAGAAAAGGCGAAGGAAAGGGGGGCAAATACCGAAGAGGAAAGTAGTACTCCTCGGAAGGCGACCACCACGCAGGGGCGGGTATCGGGACGACCAAAGAAAGGTAGAGAGACCAACTTCGAAACATGCAGGAGTTAAATGAAGCAAACGAATGAGATGTCAGGGACTCTAACGCATCCACCCGGACCCCCGGTCCTCCCCGGGGAGGGGGAAGTTGTGACGTGGCAGCCGGAGGGCGCCCGTCACAAGGGCGAGAGAGCTCCGTTCGTGTGATTTCGCGCATACCGGAAGGGGGGGGGATGCCTAGCGCCCTCAAATAATTTTGGTGATTAAAAAAAAACGATAGCTTCCGCGGTCATATCGGTCGAGCGTAGAGGAGGGTCGATTAACGAAGCGTATGCCGCAAGTGGGATGGTCATCGCGCCCTAAGATAATGTGCCCCAACTCTCCTCGCCGACCCCGAAGGTTTGAGACCACAGGACACCGAGGGAACCAGAAGAAAGAAGAATCGTCATCGGCATCCAGGAAAGTCGCCGTTTAAATGGTACGTGAAACGGTACTTTAACTCTCGTACATAAGAACGTGTTATCGTTCCGATTTCGGCTGCCGCTGGCGATATTTGTTTACAGCACGCTGCTAGACGCGGGACAGAGAGGCAGGAAGACTCTCAACAGCTGAGAACAAAACAGGTGGCCCGGAAACACGGAGATCCCAGCGAGACAAGCGAGAGAGAGAGAGAGAGATAGAGAGAGAGAGAGAGAGAGAGAGAGAGAGAGAGACAGAGA